TGTGTGTGTGTGTGTGTGTGTGTGCGTGCGTGTATGTTTGTTGACAGGTGTCTGACAAGCCCAAAGCCAGAGGCACAGCCCTGAGGTAAGACAAATAGCCACACTCTGTTTTATTTATCTTGACTACATTTCTATTGTGGTGCAACTGAATGGAGCAAAGATGTGTATGTTTTTTATGTTGTATTGACTCAGGAAAATGTGAAAACAACGTGTAGTCCTTGACATCAACCAAACAAGCTACACATAAAATGTTCTTAGTCCTGAACCATACGACTGAGGCTGTAGTGGTCAGCACTGGGTGATCTTCTGCTCATTACTTCTGTGGCTGACTTTGATAACACAGTTAAGAAATTTGGTGTTGTTTAGAAGAAATTTGTTTGAAGGTTATTGCAACACAGTCTCTATTCAGGCTTGTGGAGGTAAAGTGGCTGTAATTCACTGAAACATCTGTGATGGCAGGTGCCCACTTGATAACCTCAGTCACCAGCCTGCGCTCACGCTCAACTCTGAACCATTAAAAATGAGGCAGCAGATGTCCTCTGTGCTGTTTGTAGTAGGTTATGGTATAAATGTGAACAGGACGTCCCTGTGTTCATCTGGGTTTATTAAACACAGGATCCTGTGTATCACTGTGGATAGATATACACACATAATGACTTAAAGTCAGTCATTCAGTTTTCCTCAGGCCTGTCTTTACTAAATGTAGTCTCATTATGACTTAACCAGGTTGAATATTTGACCCTCACACTGAGCATATGGTGAACATATGTGTTAAATGATATTAAAAGCTTTGCCCTGGCTGTTTTGATTTCGCTGGCTTTGAATGCAACCTTCTTCTTGAATATTGTTTGAAGATATTGAAGTTTTATTCTGTCTTGGATTGTTTGTTAACTTTATAATGAGTCCAGACTGGAGGTGCTTTTGTTTTTCTGTGAGAGCTATCACTATTTCCACTTTTTACTACAGAATAATAGTTCTCTAGTCCAGGAGTCTGAGTCGAGTGCTGACTTCATTCAGAGGCAGAAGTTGCTATCTGCATTTAAACACAGATAATTTAAAAAGCAGATAGCTGATTCATTTATGTCAATATCTTTCACTTCTTTCTCACGAACTTCCAGTCCTGAACTCTTGTCCCTCGTCTACAGATACTGCATATTCACATACAGAATCTGCGATTAATACAACACTGAGATATTGTTAAATGTTACAGTGGCAACCTAGCTTTTATATGTGAAACATATGGTATTTTCTATTGTAATATATACAGTAGTTCAAGGTAGATCAACCAGCTACCTACTCACATGTTAATGTTACTCTCATGGGTATAAATATAATAAAAAAGTTAAAGTAGCCATATCTGTAGATGTGTAAGGTACTAATAAATCACTACTGTCATGTTATATATTAACAACAGAATTTTATAAAGTTGTTCATCTGATCAACTTCACTGAGAGGTAATTAAAATGAATTGAATGATAAATTGCCACATCTGTTGGTCAATGACAGCAGCGAAAAGAAATGTTTAAGAATTCATCAGTGAAGGCATCGTTCCTCTGCTCCTCTCATTTGAAAGTGTCAATCATTCCCCCACAGCTTGAGGCTGCGGCTACTGCTGTGTGTGCTGGAAGACTTTCTTTCTTTATTTTGTTGTCGGTGTCTGAAAAATTTAGCTAGCAGTGAAGCATGGCATTCTAAATTTCTTCTTTTATTTTTTTACATTTGAAGGACTGTGTCATGCAAATTTCATATATGGTGTTGTGGTGTCAGTGAAAATAGAATTACAGGCTCATGGTGTGGTTCTAAAATGAGGTTTAATCATCCCTGTGTTTCTTTGGAGGAGTGTGTGTCTGCTTGTTTTTCCATCATCTCATTTGACATAATTATGGCATCAGGTACGACCCCCTCCTGCTCCCCCTGATTTGTAATTTGGACTAAGATTAATCTAATCGGCAGGAAACACACCACATGAACAATCGTCAATAACAACTTTTCTCATTCCTGGCATTTTCCAGAAGCGATACAACCTATTTCCATAATATCAAACAATTTCCCATTTATCATTCAGTGATGCGTGGGCTACACATTATTGTCATCTTGTTGAGTGTTAACATCTTGGGGGAACATGTCATCTAATTAATCGTTAGTAGAAATGTTAGTTGCATTTGTAACATCACAGAACAGAGAGAATTCATGTAAACAGCTGATTTTGGCACCGAAATACATTTTTCATAAATTGGTCTTTTGCTTGGAATGTGTTGTAAAGCTCAGACTGGTGCAGAAGAATATAAGAATCTTTTATAAATGAAGCTCGTTGTGTTCACAGACTGAGGGCATTAGCATGCAAGTCTGGAGTGTGACTCTGTGTGTGAGTGTATGTGCATGTGTGTGTGTGAGAGAGAGAGAGAGA